TTGTAAGGGGGTACATCATCATTTTTTGCGGAAATTGGTTGATTTTCAACATTTTGAACTGTGAATGCCATTCGATTGGAAATTTTATGACGAATTCAACGGTGTATGACATTCCAACTTTAGACCATTATTTGCCAGGGTTTTGACACAAAAACCAAGTTTTAAATGTGTATTTTGGGTTTTTGGAGACATTTAAAAAAAATTATTTCCTGAGAGTCTTTTTGTTGTAACTTTGCCAAAATAAGACTCATAGCCAAAAGAGTTGCTGTTTTGAACAGCTGGCAACCTATATAATCCATCCCCGATCGATTAAAATAAATAAATATTTGTTTGGAACAGAAACCGAATTTTGAAAAACGATTTTTGAAGAATTTATTTTTTGTCCAATTTTCTGACTTTTTTGTAAGGGGGTACATCATCATTTTTTGCGGAAATTGGTTGATTTTCAACATTTTGAACTGTGAATGCCATTCGATTGGAAATTTTATGACGAATTCAACGGTGTATGACATTCCAACTTTAGACCATTATTTGCCAGGGTTTTGACACAAAAACCAAGTTTTAAATGTGTATTTTGGGTTTTTGCAGATATTTCAAACAGAATTATTTCCTGAGAGTCTTTTTGTTGTAACTTTGCCAAAATAAGACTCATAGCCAAAAGAGTTGCTGTTTTGAACAGCTGGCAACCTATATAATCCATCCCCGATCGATTAAAATAAATAAATATTTGTTTGGAACAGAAAACGAATTTTGAAAAACGATTTTTGAAGAATTTATTTTTTGTCCAATTTTCTGACTTTTTTGTAAGGGGGTACATCATCATTTTTTGCGGAAATAGGTTGATTTTCAAGATTTTGAACTGTGAATGCCATTCGATTGGAAATTTTATGACGAATTCAACGGTGTATGACATTCCAACTTTAGACCATTATTTCCCAGGGTTTTGACACAAAAACCAAGTTTTAAATGTGTATTTTGGGTTTTTGCAGATATTTCAAACAGAATTATTTCCTGAGAGTCTTTTTGTTGTAACTTTGCCAAAATAAGACTCATAGCCAAAAGAGTTGCTGTTTTGAACAGCTGGCAACCTATATAATCCATCCCCGATCGATTAAAATAAATAAATATTTGTTTGGAACAGAAAACGAATTTTGAAAAACGATTTTTGAAGAATTTATTTTTTGTCCAATTTTCTGACTTTTTTGTAAGGGGGTACATCATCATTTTTTGCGGAAATTGGTTGATTTTCAACATTTTGAACTGTGAATGCCATTCGATTGGAAATTTTATGACGAATTCAACGGTGTATGACATTCCAATTTTAGACCATTATTTCCCAGGGTTTTGACACAAAAACCAAGTTTTAAATGTGTATTTTGGGTTTTTGCAGATATTTCAAACAGAACTATTTCCTGAGAGTCTTTTCGTTGTAACTTTGCCAAAATAAGACTCATAGCCAAAAGAGTTGCTGTTTTGAACAGCTGGCAACCTATATAATCCATCCCCGATCGATTAAAATAAATAAATATTTGTTTGGAACAGAAACCGAATTTTGAAAAACGATTTTTGAAGAATTTATTTTTTGTCCAATTTTCTGACTTTTTTGTAAGGGGGTACATCATCATTTTTTGCGGAAATTGGTTGATTTTCAACATTTTGAACTGTGAATGCCATTCGATTGGAAATTTTATGACGAATTCAACGGTGTATGACATTCCAACTTTAGACCATTATTTGCCAGGGTTTTGACACAAAAACCAAGTTTTAAATGTGTATTTTGGGTTTTTGCAGATATTTCAAACAGAATTATTTCCTGAGAGTCTTTTTGTTGTAACTTTGCCAAAATAAGACTCATAGCCAAAAGAGTTGCTGTTTTGAACAGCTGGCAACCTATATAATCCATCCCCGATCGATTAAAATAAATAAATATTTGTTTGGAACAGAAACCGAATTTTGAAAAACGATTTTTGAAGAATTTATTTTTTGTCCAATTTTCTGACTTTTTTGTAAGGGGGGTACATCATCATTTTTTGCGGAAATTGGTTGATTTTCAACATTTTGAACTGTGAATGCCATTCGATTGGAAATTTTATGACGAATTCAACGGTGTATGACATTCCAACTTTAGACCATTATTTCCCAGGGTTTTGACACAAAAACCAAGTTTTAAATGTGTATTTTGGGTTTTTGCAGATATTTCAAACAGAATTATTTCCTGAGAGTCTTTTTGTTGTAACTTTGCCAAAATAAGACTCATAGCCAAAAGAGTTGCTGTTTTGAACAGCTGGCAACCTATATAATCCATCCCCGATCGATTAAAATAAATAAATATTTGTTTGGAACAGAAACCGAATTTTGAAAAACGATTTTTGAAGAATTTATTTTTTGTCCAATTTTCTGACTTTTTTGTAAGGGGGTACATCATCATTTTTTGCGGAAATTGGTTGATTTTCAACATTTTGAACTGTGAATGCCATTCGATTGGAAATTTTATGACGAATTCAACGGTGTATGACATTCCAACTTTAGACCATTATTTCCCAGGGTTTTGACACAAAAACCAAGTTTTAAATGTGTATTTTGGGTTTTTGGAGACATTTAAAAAAAAATTATTTCCTGAGAGTCTTTTTGTTGTAACTTTGCCAAAATAAGACTCATAGCCAAAAGAGTTGCTGTTTTGAACAGCTGGCAACCTATATAATCCATCCCCGATCGATTAAAATAAATAAATATTTGTTTGGAACAGAAACCGAATTTTGAAAAACGATTTTTGAAGAATTTATTTTTTGTCCAATTTTCTGACTTTTTTGTAAGGGGGTACATCATCATTTTTTGCGGAAATTGGTTGATTTTCAACATTTTGAACTGTGAATGCCATTCGATTGGAAATTTTATGACGAATTCAACGGTGTATGACATTCCAACCTTAGACCATTATTTCCCAGGGTTTTGACACAAAAACCAAGTTTTAAATGTGTATTTTGGGTTTTTGGAGACATTTAAAAAAAATTATTTCCTGAGAGTCTTTTTGTTGTAACTTTGCCAAAATAAGACTCATAGCCAAAAGAGTTGCTGTTTTGAACAGCTGGCAACCTATATAATCCATCCCCGATCGATTAAAATAAATAAATATTTGTTTGGAACAGAAACCGAATTTTGAAAAACGATTTTTGAAGAATTTATTTTTTGTCCAATTTTCTGACTTTTTTGTAAGGGGGTACATCATCATTTTTTGCGGAAATTGGTTGATTTTCAACATTTTGAACTGTGAATGCCATTCGATTGGAAATTTTATGACGAATTCAACGGTGTATGACATTCCAACCTTAGACCATTATTTCCCAGGGTTTTGACACAAAAACCAAGTTTTTAATGTGTATTTTGGGTTTGAATTATGGCAGTAATCCATGCCACTTTAAATTCGGAGGAGTCTGGGCCCAGCTGCCTTTTAAAATATTTTCACCAATTAACTAATCCTTACCTTTACCCAGTAAAAGTTGCGCATATTGAATTTAATTTGTATTTTCATTTATATTAAAAATCAATTATTTCAGCAAAGCGGTTCGCAGATCAGGATCGTTCGGAGAGGTTCCCGTGGGTAACTGCATCACATCTTGCGTCGCCTACAGGATTTTCCAGGAATTACCAATCATCGGCCTCGTGCTAACACCTCACCAACCAACTGTATTCAGAAAATAGCTATGTTACTATAGTTTATGCTAAGTAATTATTCTAAGTATTTGAAATATTAACATATAACATTTATTTTATCATATTATATACTTTATCTTAAGTATAAATAAATAAATATTACATAAGAAATGTTGTCGTTTTTCTGCGGTTGACGATATTATGTCGTTTTTTTCAGCGGCTGGCGATACTATGTCGTATTTTTCTGATACTGGCGGTATTATGGCGTTTTAAAGCGGCAGGAGGAATTATGTCGTTTTTTCGGCGGCTTGCGATATTATGTCGTGTTTTCTGCAAGCATATTTTTAACGTCAAATTTTATGAAATCTTGTCACGATTAGAACCGACATAAGGTAGATTTTTTAGTCAATTTTATGTCCCTTCTTTATGGCGATTAAATGTTGATCTTTTCTGTCGATTTTTTGTGGCTTTTAAGCGTCACAAGATCATGCCACGAAATCATGTCGTTTCTGGTGATTCAAAACGGCGGAATTATGTCGTTACCCCGTGTGCCATTTTTCATTTTGAAGAGTCTGGGCCGAGCTTTCTAAATAAAAAACAAAATTTTAAAGGTGTTTTTGGGTTTATGGCGATTTTTTTGACTAACATGTAATAAATCTCGGCTAAAAGTTAGCGTCCGTTCTCGTTTTTATTTATCTTACAGCTATAACCATCATTACCTTTGTGAATCTGCATTATCCACAAACATATCCCCCAAAGTGGCAAGAGAAACAATATCGTTTGGAATTATAGTACAGTAAATACGCTTTATTTTTCCCCGTTTCAGTTTCAGTGTATAATTTTCAATCAATTTTAAGTTTAGTTCATATAAAAAGCTACACTCTGCCGCCGAACGAAGGTATCGAGTTCTTAGATTCGTCCGGTTTTATTCTTTGCAAACATATTTCATATGCCGCAGGGCAGTTCCGTAAAACAATTGCATCCGAATTCCAATTCATATGCACATTAATGCAATCTAACGAGCATATGTAGATGTGTGTATCCTCCAGTAATCTAGATTTGGGTTCGCTTTGTGGGTTATTCGACAGGGTTTTTTGTATAGTATCGTTTGTATATATATATTAATAGGTAAAAAGCTCTGACAAGGCGCTTGACTTAACTGGCAACAGAAGCTACAAAGCTCATTGGCAACGAACAGAAAAATCGGGGATCTCTGCAAAGGATAGGGCATTTTTTTCGGGGGTCAAATAAAAACGCGTTTTCCATGGGGATATAACATACATACATTCAGATCGGCATGATTACATATATGTATAGTTCGCTTTTCATTTTTTTCTTTTATTTTGTATTATTTGTTTCGTGTAGAAAAAAAAACTTACGAATAACTTTAAATACATGTACATACATATATATATTTTAGATGTATATATCCTTTAGATTAATGCGTTTTAGATCTCTTAACTACAATTTGTTTAATTTTTACATACATAAGAAAATACTTTTAACACAAACTGAGCGATTTGCAGTTGTTTGATGGAAGTGGGATGAAAGATAAGTGAGTTCTGTGTTGTTTGGCATTCTCGTAGTTATCCGTTTTTCTCTACAACTTAGCAATCAATTTGGGTTACTTTCGATTTACTCAGCATGTTTGAACTTGTGTGGGATGAACCGGAAACGATGACTTCCATATGTTTTTCAAGCATCTAAGCAGTTTGTAAATATTATCAAACTTTCAATTTCGTCAACATTAATGTACATTGAGCATTTTTCATTAAGTGCCGCCGTGGCATAAACTTTCTGGTGGTTAAGTATACGAATTAGCATCAGGAAACGAAGGATTTCTGCATCAACTTTATATTCGAGTTCCTTCTCTTGTTTTTCTTCCTCTGATCTCATATTTCCGTTTTAATGTCATGGTTGCTTTTTGTGGAAAGAAATGCTTGCAAGTCTTTTGTTCAGCGTTTTAAGTACTACGAATTGGTGGGGGTGATGATCAGGGGGCAAACTTAATGTTTAAACTTATTTATGGCATGTTTAAGTTAGTTATACTAAAGAAATCGTTCTCATTCCTTGCGGCTTACATGCATAAATCCTCCTTTTCGCTTTAACTGCTAAATAAATGTATTTTTTGTTTGTAAGGCATTAATTTAAGATTTCTTTCTTGCATACATATATATTTACTTATGCTAGGTCCTTTCTTTATCATCTCCTTTTGTTTTATTTACTCTTCCTGCTTTTGTTCATCGTTATTTGTAATTTCTTGTTTTCTTTTTGTGACTAAGGAGAAACAAAGCAAATGCAGCGATATAAAATACTTGTATAAACTAGAAAATGAAGCGACATGGACTTGATTCTTTCTCTGCTATCTTTTTTGTTTGTTTGCTTGCCGGTTTTTTATATCGAGCTTAATGTTCTATGTTTTAGATGCTTTTAAGATATCGTATGTATTTATAGTAAGACATTTAGTAAGTTTTACGCTGTGTACGAAAGTAAATTAAAACCAACTTAGTGCGCCAATCGATCGATATTCAAGTGTTCTTCCCCCAGCTTTGGCTTTGGCTTGTTCGCGCTAGATCATCGTAAATATAATATCATATTATATTATATTATATTATTCCCTCCTCCTAATTTTGTGCACATTGCGGTTGGATTCTCGAGTTCCCTGGTTTCGGGAACAAACACCTTACACCGCTGAATTCTTGCCGATTATCTCGCCACTGCGTGAATGCACGAATCGGCCGTCGAACTCGATGGTCGAGTTTTGTTTAATGCTGCCAGTGGGCGTGCGGAGTGGCTCCTTTTCGTCTCTGCAAAGTGATATGAAAATTAGTTATTAGTCATTAGGTAAGGCAAATTTAAATTCAAATCTCAACTTTTACTAAAGCTGCCTGCTACGCATGCAATTCGTGCCAAGCTGCCAGGAAGCACAGCCCAAACACTCACCTGTTGCTACTGGATATGTTATTTCAAAAGGTAAACTTTCAAGGGTATGACACTGGATAGTATAATAAACAGTTTTAAGTTGTTTTTCTAGCTGACTCTATATTTATGGTTTGAAAACTTATTTTTTGCTTGAAATTATCTTTCTTAAAGAGCTTTAGTTAATATATTTTGGTTGCAAAATAATAAATACTGTTGTAGGATTTTAATATGAACATAATTTAAAACAAATCTTATTTAAGTTACATATTAAGATATAAGTTTAAAAAACATTATTTTGCTAAAATATAGTTTGCAGCATTAAAAAGAATTCATTTGATTTCGAGTTACTTACTGATTTCAAATCATACACATTTTTATTCTAACATATTCCAAAAATTGAAAATCATTTTAATGTTTCCAGTGTCGTACACCTTTGAAGACCATAAAACCCGAACTACAGTGGCTTGGCATGCAGTGCTAGCTAATGAAGATGACCTATGAGGTATTTTTTGGATAGGTGATAGGAGGAAGGAGATACAGCAGAACTACAAGACGCTTTATAAAGGAGATGCAGTATGCCGAGATGCGAATGCAGAGAGCTAGTCTAACGGACAGCGGAAATGAAGAGTGGCAAAGCAAAGCAAATCAAAATTAAAAACAGGAACGGAAACGGAAGTGGCAATAGAAACGGAAACGGAAATGGATACGAAAACAAGAACGAAAACAAAAAACGGACCGGAAAACAGAGAGGTGTACGTACAATGGCGATGTCATGGGCGAACCGCCCAGTTTGACGGGCGGCGGCAGTGGCAACGGCGATGGTGGTGGCTCCTTTACCAGCTGGCCACTGCAATAAGGTAGCGGAAATCGCCAACCGTAAAGACTGCTTGGTTAGATGGTTTTTGGGTTGAGATTGTGATTGTGGTTCGGTTTTTGGATGGATTTGGTTGGATTTTGTTGGACGTGTGTGGTGATTGGAATAATACATGATGAGGTTGATTTAGTATCGAACAGAGAGTAAAACACATAGATAGCAAATGGATTTTGTTGGTATGTATGGAAGTGACAACAATGATGAAACAATTGTGAGTGTATATTTTGTGTGTGAGTGTTTTGTTTTTTATACATTTACTTAAAAAATTAGGCGCTCACTAAAAGTTCTTAATGAGAATATAACAATGGGTCTGAGGAAATACGGATATATTTTTAAAACTTTCCATATTATGTATAGGTTTTTATTCAAAAAGTTAATTCTCTTTATCGGAGTCATTTATTTTCCTCAAGTTCCAACTAAAATTCTAACAAAATCATAAAATTCTAAAATAAATTATTTTTTTTAAGTATAACTCTTTAATTCTAAATCTTAAACTTTTTGCGAAAGCGGGCAGCAGATATCCTATATAGAAACTTAGTATCTGGAGCCCGTCTGCACATTTACATTTTTACATTTTCTTTATCAAAACACACACTTATGAGTTAGAACGCAACAATCTCGTACAATTAGCCAACAAACAAAGGACATGATTTTGAAGCAAAACTGGGTGTAAACGTGTTAACGAGTGTGAATTGTTTTACTAAATTGGTGATTTGGGTTTGTGTTGTTCTGTTCTGTTTCTGGAATTACATCATATTGCACTAAAAATTTGATGGCAAACGAAAAGGCAAACGTAAAATTGTTAACAATTTGGAATTTTAATTTTGATTTGGGTCTCATTTTGGAGACTTGGCGAATCGCTCAGACGGATATCAGGGAATTGCGATTGAACAACAAGGACTTGGGCCGCGCATAAACCCAATTGTACTCGAAGTCCGGGCGCCTGTGAGTTCGGCTTTTTATCGCAAAATAGGAGCGTGTTGGGGGGAAAAAAACACAAGCAGAACGCAAAAAGCAAAAATGTTAAATTCGATTACATTCTGATTTTTAGTGCAATATTCGTTTCATTTTGTCGCGTTGGGTCAAACATTTTCCAATCAATATTAGTACACAGAAAAAATAAGATTAAAAATGTAAGCGATGAGTTTGAGGTTAATTTGATTTTTTTAGTTTATCGAAATATTTATTCCTATTTTTTTATTCTTTTAAATAAATTATTATGGTATGACATTTTAAGAATTCATATTATATGACTGTTTTCAGAATTAGTTAATACAAAATATAATCTTGGAAAATATGTTTTCAAAATGAATGAATACAAAAGGATCTTGTGTTATTTGCTAATATATATTTTTGAAAAGAACAAATTACATTTGAAAATTATAGTGTTAGCTTGAAAGTTTGAAAAGGGAACTTGCATAGAATAAAATATTTAAAATTCTATATGATATTCTCGATTGGTTATAAAAGGGAAGTGAGATCAATCATTCCCTAGTTTATATTATGGTTTATAAAATGTAGCATATTATTGAATTCTTGGAACTTGAATTTAAATCAAATACACCTTTTCTTACATCACTTTTTTCTGCGTAGGGCATAGAGACATGGGATAGCAAAACGATGGCGTGCTTACCTGCCCAGTTTGGCCTCGTCGTCGATCTCCGAGGGCGATCGCTTGGCCTTGCGGCACATGGTGGCCATGACGCCCATGTGGACTGTGATGCAGCAGAGCAGGTCCACCACGAACAGGAGCAGAAGGACACCGCCGAGAGCGATGCCCACGATGGCCGCCGATGAGAACACTTGTCGCTCAGCCACCTGGATGACATCGATTCCTGATTGGGTTGTTTTTTGTTTTGGGTTTTTGTGCGGATCAGAGAGGGTGCGGGATGCGGGTGTGGGCGGGGAAAAACAAGTGTACTCGATTAGTAAGTTGACAATCAGATCGATATAAAGGGGGTGTTGTTAACTATACGTATTTCTAGGTGGTACGGCGCCAGCACCTGGCTCACTAGCCTAGGAAAAATCTTCTCCAATTAACGGATAATCTTACACACTTAAAACTCTGGTTTCTTAATCGCTGGTTAATCGTTTAAACGTATTTTACATTTTTGTGTGTGTATTATTTTGTGGTTGAAATAAGTCGAAACTATGGTTAAACATAACAAAATCATAACAGTTAATAATAGTAAGAGTAGTAGCAATCATAAAAACCAAAAAAAAAAATAAAAATAAAATAAAACAGGGAAGTACGAAATCAATTTCAAATTTCACCAATTCACATACCATGAAAAGCATTTCAAACAAAGCAACAAACTTAGCATTTTTTCCGGTTCTTTTTTGTCATACATTTTGAAAGTGGGGGGTTTACAAATAAAGCATGCAGCCGGGGGAAAAGTGGGGCGGGAAATTGTTCGGGGGGTTTTCGCTCAGCACAGAGATAGAGAGAAAGTCGGCGGTGAGAAAGAGAGAAAAAGAAGCGGTTCGTTGAAGTGTTTTAGTTTTTTTACAAATTGCAAAATACATAAATAGGCCAGTATGCAAAGTATACAAGCAGTGTAAAGCAGTTGAACTTAGGAGTATAAATGTTTTTACATTACATTATGTGTGCGGAAGTGGGGATTATATAGAAGGTACGGGGATTCGTTTGCCTAGTGTGCTTTGCTTCAGTTTTGGAAACTATACAACATAATCAACAATTAACAATCAACAATAAAGGTTTGTTATTAACACAGATTTCTGTCGTTTTGGGGATACAATTTTGTTTGTTGGTTATATATAGTTTTGCTCGAATGTTAGTGTTTTCGCTTGGTTCGTGTGCAGTGCAAAAAACTGGTTATAATACATAGATATATAGGCTTTGAACAGATCCTTTTTGTTACCTGGAGACATCCAAAATGCTGGTGGCAACCCTGTCCCAAGTCACACACGCACGCACTGCTTTCTGTTAAAGTTTTGTCTTTATTACCCAAAATGAACTGCTTAAGTGGTAGGCTTTCTTTTCGTTTACTTTTACCAATTTCGTTATCGTTTTCATTTGCTTACAACATTCAATGACATTGTGTTAAAGTGTGATTTGTGAGAACAGTGAAAGTTCCTACTGCTTGCCCAAGGGCTATACAAAAAAAAACACTTTCCCTATCTCAGCAACGTTAGGCGGGCTGCATTATTCACTAACTATATGTGTATACGTATGTATAACTAGATATTGTAAAGGTATAAATTTTTTTATTTTTGGATTTACGATATATATTTGGCTAGAAAAATCGATGTCGCTTGCTAAAAAACGTGTATACAGGAATATCGGTTCGTCTAGATCAAGTTGCATTCTAGTTTTGGCTCACTAAACTCTTACTATCAACGAAACGGTAAAAACACTCGTAAGCCCCCTTGTGTGTGTGGAAAATTCGTAATCGCACCGCTTTAACTTAGTTAGAGTTACTTATTGTCCCCTCTTAAAGTTTACGCACTCAAAACATAACTGAGACTCGGCTAAAACTGTTTGCAACTGCCTTTTTTAACAGTGTTGGAAGAAGCTTTTTCGCTAACTTTAGGTGTTTAAGGTATAGAGTGTGAATGTAATTGTTTTGGTAACTTGTACTCGTATGCACTTGATATTTCTTTTGTTTCTTATTCTTCTTGTAGAATTTTACTAAAACGTTTCATATATAAATTTGGTTTACTTAGTGATTTTATTTATTTTTTTGTGTCGCTTGGCAGTGTTGTAAAAGTCACATTGAACTAAGCGGAACGGGTGTACGGAATCGAAATGTGTTCTATAAATGCTCTCGCTATACACATACAACTAAATAACAACTTAACATTGGCTTAGTGGTTAAACAAGGTATCTAGCGGTTAGACATAGGATACAGGTTACATGTAAGTACAATTTATCAGTTGTGTAAGCAATTGTTTCGGTTTTGGCATTCCGTTTTCGTCTTTTTCCTTTTTTTTTTAGCTATGTATTTAAGATTTTTTTTCTTTTTGTACAGTTAATGGAATCGTGACCCGCCCTAAGTGGTAAATTTATTAATCATATTCTCTACTTGAGCACATATAACGTAATAACGTCCGCTTCTTCATGCTAGTTAAGTGTATGTTTTATTGTATTTCTCTTTTTTTGTTTTCTTTCATTTAGTTTTTCTTATTATTTACACATTGACACACCAAACAGAAACTAGAGAAAGGAAAACCCATTATAACGGCCAGCGGAAGGATCCTCCAAGCACTGCTTGTTGATGGGTGGAAGCAGGAGAAGCGTATCGGCAGCTGTGGTCGTTTAAGCAGTGCGCGTCGTCGGCAGCAAAATCAGCAGCATTGTCGGCAGGGCAGCACTTAGGGCAAGCAGTTTAACCAGGGATGCAGCGCCACTCCGCGGGGGATGGGGATTATCTGTTGGTTTTTTCGATTGTTTGTCGAATTTTTTTTGGTTTTTGAATGCATTTTAGCATTTGTACAGTTCGATTTTAATTGATTTTAGTAGTAGGAGTTGTTGTTGTTGTGGTTTTTAGCACACACACACCATAAAAGAGAGAAAAAAAAAGGAAGAAAAAGTGGTAGAAGAAAAAGGAAGAAAAGGAAACACACAAAAGAACATTTCGTTGTTGTTGGTTGGTCTTGATTTTAAGATTTCTTTGTCTTTTTGGTTTCGGTTACTAAGAAGACGACGACGTTGAATCAAACACAATGTGAAAGTGTGAGTTAGTTGTTGGTTAGTTTGTTTTGTTTGTTTTTGCTTGGCTCGGTTTCGAGTTTGTGTTTGTGTTTGCTTTCAAGTGTTTGTTTCCCTAACAAAAGGGCCACGAATGTGTTTGTTAGTTAAGTTGTGTTGTGGTTATTGTTGGTTAGGATAATAGCTATGACTAAATGCCTAAATAGATGCACACACTAAGACCACTGGTTAGCCAAAAAGATCAGGCTAAGGTTAAAGTTGAGGTTAGGTTTAAAATTGAGGCTATGTCTGGGCAAAAGCGTCAAGGATAGGTATTTATCGGGAATAACGGAATAACGGAACACAGAGAGATAAAGACAGTGGGTGACAGCACACACAAACACAAAGGCTTTTTACTTACACAAACACAATCAAACGGACTACGCACAACAAATATACTTAAAATTAGCTAAAATAAGGAGAAAAATTCGAGGAACAGAGACAACACAGCGAGAGCGAAAGAGAGGACGACAGTGTGAGTGGGGGTGAGCGAAAGAGATAGAGAGCGAGAGAGAAAAAGATAGAGACAACGCAGGCATAACTGATAATAAAAGAGTACGACAGCAGTTGCAGTAAATTACAGTTTGTTTCATTGGTTTTCTTTAAATGTTTTATTTGGGAAACGTTTTCTTTTTTTATCGCTTATAATTCAAAATTTAACTAAAGAAGTAGTCGCAGTGTACACACAAAATCAAATTAAATCAAAAAATAATCGATGTGATAAAAAATAATAATGAATGAAGAACTTTAGTAATCTAATTTTAAACAGAAAAGATTTTCATCGTGTTTCTTTTTCATTTTCATTACATACTAGATTTACATTTAACAGTGTTTTTTCGTTTCGTTATACGTATTAAGAATATTACAATCGAAAACTGTGATGAATGCACACACAAAAATATAAAATTATAAAATTCGAGTAATTCTTCTCTTTTATTTTGTGTCACAAAATATGTAAGGTTTAGTGTGGTGTTTGGTAATTATAATTAAGTAAATGCTTAAGAATGGTAATAAAAAAAAAGAACGTAAAGTAAGCTAAAATTGAATTCGGGACGCACGCATCTCTCACATTTTTATATATATCGTACAACGGCTGACTGACGAGAGTGTGGTGAATTTTGCATTTCAATGCGAAAAGTTAATGAATTTTGATTTCAGAAGGACGACAACACGATCTCGAATGAATTGTAATGCTTAGTCAAATGCGTTGCAATACTTTTGGGACTTGGTGGTTGGTGTTTTGTGTGAACATATTGATTGGAATGTATACATAATATTCAAAGGTTATATCAATGAAAGAAATTTATGGTTAAAATGCTCTAGACGATTCAGAACGCACAAAAACATGCAAAACACAAAATTGTTCAAAACATAAGACAATGAAATCGAGTCATAACGTTGAGCAAATTATTTTTAAGTCGGGGGAAATTTTGGATTTGGGTGTTAGGTTTTAGGAGGTATATTACTGGGTGGGCGGTTTACACTGAGTGTAAACAATAAACAAAAGTTGAAACGCAATTGAAATAAACACTACAAAAATGTATGCAAACTTTATCGATAATATCTGGGATATATGTATCATATTCATATATATATATATATAGAGCAGTAAAAATTATGTCTTTATCTAGATATCATGTAGATGATGTCTGTGTGTGAGTGGATATATATATACATATATATTTATATATAAATATATATTTATATATAAAGATTTTTCATTTATATATTTTTTAATTTTTTTAGCTGGGATCTTGTAGACTCGATACGATTCGATATTTTTCAATTCGAACGTTCGAAAAGCCAGAAACTGGGAGCATGTGATAATTTCTTCGTTCACATTTTTTTTTCAAAATATTACACGATCACGTAGACGCAGACTTATGGAGCCCACTGTTATCTGACCAATCGATCGATCGATTTGATTTTTGATTTGATTTTTTTTTTGTTTAGACTAATGTTGAGGCTAGGACACTAAGTAATGTTATGCTTATTGTGGTGGCCAGCGAAATGATTGTTGTTGTTGCTGTTGTTATCGATGTGATTGTTGTTGTCGATGTGGCTGTTGTTGTTGTTGTTGTTGTGAACAGTCGTTTGTGTAGCGCACCGACACCGGAATTGAATCCGGCCGAATAGAGCAACGTGCCGAGATTGTTATTAGCAGAATCGAACTCACCTCGTGTCGTCTTCATGATAATGGATGCAGGCGATGAGTAGCCGATGGCATTGTGCGCCTTCAGCTCGATGCGATAGTAGGTGTTGCCCACCAGTTGGGTCATCTCGTAGGAAGTGGTCTCGACCACCTCAACACTGTTGCAAGAATTCTCCAATTCCGTCCATGTGCCGCTGATCTTGACGCCCTGCCAAATGATTGGTGTAAGTTAATTGCGGAAAAGTACGTTTTTGAGAAAATTAGGAATGAGAAAGACTTCATTCAAATATTTTTATTAATTTTCTAATACATTTTCTAAAAGCGTAGTTTTCCTACTTCCTTTAGTCAGTTATTTGCTTTTAGGAAGTTAAATGTTTATTTTCTTTAGATTTGTTTTGTTGGGATCCTTTCTCAAAGCATTAAAACTTTCCATAAAAAAAAAAAATTTAAATAATACATAAGCATATTATATTTGTAGTATATATTTTTTTTCACAATTTGACTTTCAATTACTATTTAAGCAGTCTAAAAAATAATTAATATTTAATTCGTTCACGTCTTTTTTAAAAATCTAAATTTTTGGCAGCAATAATATGGTTTTAAAATTTCTAGTAACTTTTGATTTTTTTAAGAACTAAAGATAAATGAGTACGCTATTTTTAACCACAACTTTAAAGGATCTCTTCAGCAAGGAACTTCCCACTTACCGGGCAGTATTTGATCTGGTACTTGTCGATGGGCTCTCCATTGTCGGCGGGCACACCCCAGCGCAGCTCGAAGTGATCGGAGTAGGGCGAGACCACCACCGGCTCCTCCTTGTCGTGCTGGACGGGATTGTGCAGTGGCTTCGGTTCCTCGGGAGCCGATCGACGCGGTGTGGACTGCTGCTGGTTGACGCCCCAATTGCCCAAGCCCACCTGATTGCGGGCGGCAAAGCGGAAACTGTACTCCGTCTGTGGTCGCAATCCCTCGACGATGTACGGTGAGTCCGGTGACCAACTGCGATTGTAGGCCGACGACCAGTCCGGATTCATGGCCTCTTTGTATTGCACACTGAAGGCCAGAATGGGCAGGCCCAATTCGGTTGGCGGTCCGCGAATGTCGAAGGTCATTGTGGTGGCGGTTAACTGACTGGGCTTCGCTTCCGAAACGAAATCGGGCACTCGGGCCTCCTTAAGCTGCATATCATGCTCGGCGGATCCATGGATATTGGTGGCAATGCACTTGTAACCGGAATAATACTGCCTGGTGACCGGATGTACAATCAAATCGCTACGCGGTCCAGTGCCCACAATCTTTAGGTTGGTGTCGTACAGATCCTTGATCTTGCGACCATTCCAGTGCCATTCGATGGTGGCATTCGGTATGCCCATGGCCAGGCAGCTGAGATTCGCCTTGCGCTGTTCCCACGAGAAAACTGGCGGCAGATCCTTCATGTGGCTAAAGTCGGGGGCAAACTCCACCGTGATGTGTCCGGTCTTGAAGGCATTGTCACCCGTATTCCTTGCAATGCACTGGTACAGTCCATCGTCGGATCGCTCGGCATTGGCGATGCGCAGGGTGCCGGCACTGTCGCCATGCTCCTCGTCGAAATTGCGCTCCAAGGTGATGCGAGGATCGTCCTCCTGGCGGCCATTCGTGAATTCCACATCGGCTCCCCAGCGACGGAAGGTGATCTCGGGTGCAGGACGTCCCCGGGCGCGGCACGTGATGGCAATCTCTTTGTTCCTCGAGCCAGTCACATTATACAACTCGTAGATCTGCGGACGCACCAGGACATTCAGCTTGGTCTTCTGATCGACCACACCCGCCTTATTCTTCGCCAGACATGTGTAGGTGCCGTAGTCTTCCTGGCTGACAGAGCTAATGGTGACGAGGCCCGTTTGGGGATTCACCTGGAAACGATCGGCGGTGGCCACATTCAATTGGGTGGCATCGCGAATCCAACTGATCTCCGGCACTGGTTTGCCCGTCGCCGTGCAATTGGCGGCAAAGGGTTTGCCCTCGATAGCCTCCAGACTGGCGGGCAGCGACACGATCACCGGCTGAATGAAGACCTCCACGCGAATGGTGCGCTCCAGCAGTTCTCCTGTCTCGATTACGGCCGCACGGCAGGTGTAGATGCCCTCGTCACTCTCCTGTACATTGCGGATGAGCAGGCCGTTGGTTTGCACCACATACTTCTCGTTGGTGGTGCGGATCTATGGTTTAGGATGGTTTAGGCAAGTTAGTGGTTAGTGGATTGCCAAACAGAAGGGGTTTGCTAGCTATAATTACCGGATCGCCGTTGCGCAGCCAGTCGATGGTCGGATTGGGATCGGCCTTCACTTCACACATCACCACATAGTCCTGGCCCAAAGTGGGATACTGATTCTCGGGGGCATTTGTCCAGGTAATGGCCACTGCAAAAAGGACGAAGAATATATATTATATGTAATGTGTGTTGTCTTACAATTTGAATGGGAAATTAAAACCCTAAGAAATATTTATGTCTAACTGTATTCATTCATAAAATTTAAATCTAAATAAATTATAAATAGCCTTTAAAAATCACCTCACACTTATTAATTATCTAAATGAGTATAAACCTTGTTTTGTTCTTTTTTTTCTTTGCAAAGTACAGATTTTTGCTGTTATTTTGTGGACAGTAAGATGATTTCCAGCTGCCCAAGAATAAGGGTCCTGAAGTCCTGCGACAAACAAATTCCTGGGCTAGGTGTGCACAAATTGTTTGATTTTGCTTCGCCTTCATTTACACAGCACACAGACAGAGGAAGGGGAACAAAAAAAAAAAAATAGAAAAAGAAAATGAAAAAATAAACGCAGGAGGCTATGGAAAAATGCAAGTCAAGCAGGACAGGACACTAGTTTTCTGGTCATGTTGACAATCCAAGCGAAGCTGTACGTGGCGTATACGTAATATAATTTTAAACAAACTGTCGGGCACATAAAAGCAATTCAAGCACATCAAGCGCAAAGTCCAAGACATACTCCCCTCTCAACTCCCGCCCCCTTTCCACCAACTTTAAAGGGTCACTAACGAGCTGGAAAAGGGGGGCCAGATGGACGCCACTGCCCTGGCTGCCAATAAATCTCCACTGCCGAGATGACTTGGAAATTGAAAATGGGCAACAGAAAAATTCCTAAATCAAATAGCACAGTGCAAAGTGTTAACAACAACAACAACCATACGGAGATAAACAGGGGCGTACCGATTGTAAAGAACTATAGTAGGTGTTTGCAAATCAAAGCTCACATCCGAAATAAAGGTCAAGGCGTGAGAAGCGGAAGAGTTGTTTAAATCTAGAAAATAATCAAAAAGGCCTCAAAGCAAAAAGTAAATTCCCAATGGAAATTTATAGATACAGTTGTGTTTAAAAAGAAAAAAAAACGAAGTGAAAGGATAAAGAGTGTTGGTAGCCTTTAAAAAGAATTGTTAACTGAATTCTTTATATATGTATATATATTTGCTGCACAATACAGAAAGTTTTTTCATGAAATATTCACGTTAAACTTTACACTTTACGCTCACTAGATAGTTTTGTCATCAGGCTTGGCAATAAATATACATTTGTTTTTCTTTTTCATGGTCATTTTATCTTTGAACATTTTAAATTTATTTATTTATTAAAACAAACATACATAGATCATATTGAATTTCTATTTTGCTAGACATAAAGATAAATCCTCTCTTATGGTGTATTTCAAATACCATGCCAATCGAAACACAAAATCCACCTGTCTGTTGATTTGTTTTTATATATTTTATGCTCTCACCTCTGCCAATGTAGTAAATGTGGCTTAGGTTTGGCGCCTTTTCCAGTTTGTCAACGCCTTTCAGGTGTTAATGGATCCCACAAACGCCTTAAATATGGCATCAATATTTTGCATTTGAAAAGGCAATGTTCGCCAAAAAGCTGTAACCCATCATTGGCAGCCTTTCGGCTTTCAATTCCATCGTGTGTGTGTGTGTGTGTGCGTGTTGTGTGTGGCTCAAATATTTACAGTTTATTTAAAAATCAGTGTAATAACAAGCCATCTCTGTCTGTCGGCCAGCTGTCAAGCTTTCACATATATGATATATATATTTAGGTAGTACATATATGATATATATGGAATGTCCGGCGAATTCGGTTTTTGGCTAGAGCCAAAGCCAAAGCCAAAGCCAAAATAACGGAAAGTTGTGTTAAAAACATTTTCTATTTGCAGTTTTTTATTGGCAGTGTCTAGGTCTGGATGGTCTGGATATCCTGAATCCTCCTTCTTCGCCCTGTTATCCTTTTTTGTCCTCTACTACTACTTTTTTTTTTTTTTTTTTTTTGCGCACCCACACAACATATAAAATAAATAAAAACTTGCTGCTCCTGTCATTTCGCCTGCTTTTGCCCAGGATTTTGTGCCAGGATATTCCCTGCTCTTTTCAGTTTGCCTGCATTGTCGTAGCGTGTGAGATTTTGTTGTTCAAACACTTTTCGCTAGCTGCGTTCGTTTCTGACGTCTGATGGGCAGGAAGCCCAGCCCAGCACAGCACACACCGATATACTATATATATATATATATATATATATGGCTTATGCCCACCCAAACTTCACAGAACGTAGAGGAAAAAAGATGAACTAGTTTACGATTTCATTATTAGTTTGAACAAGGACAAGCCGGAGTCCTGGAGTCCAGGAGCCAGGATCCGGAGTTTTCTTTGCCGGAGCACCGAACATGACTCACAACTTATTGAAAAAGTTGCTGCAACAACTTATTAAAAAAAAAAAAAAAAAAAAAAAAATGAACAAAATAATGGATAACGAAAGAGGGAACTGTGCAGGGGAAACTGCAATTTGATTTGGGGGCCTTGAACGGCAATGGGTTCAAATTACCGCCGACCAGCTCGAATCCGGTCCAAGTAAGTGATAATAAAATCGAACAGATTGTTGCAATTGAAAAGTTTGCCATACTTCAATTTCAAATGACTAGTATACATACTATGCCGCTGACTTTAAAATTAATTTTGGAATTGAATTTATTATTTAGCAGGTTGAAAGTCAAGTTTGATCTTCAAGCAACGTTAAACAAATATTGATATAGTCATTAATTAAATGTATGCAATGCAATAACTAAAAAAAAGTTGTATTTGACAAGTTAAGCCCAAGAGGTGAACACACAAATCTCAATTAATATAAATGCTAATTGATCTGCATTAGAGCTGAAAAGTGTGCTATAATTCCTTGTTTATTTTCCGAGTGTGCGGGCAGTAAAACGAGTAGTTTTGTTTAAGAAAATGCAGAAGTTACAGACAAAATGCACAATGTTTGCAGTCCCCGGAAAAGCGGAACTATCTAATTGGGCAGCCAAGCCAGATAAATCGATGTACTTACATATATAAAGTATTTATCAAGTGCAAACTCTCTCTAATGCCTCCAATCAACATTATTAGTAGCAATTACATGGCCAACAATGCAAAGGATGTCGGCTATTATCGGTTAGCAGATTAAGTCGTATTTGTCTATCTACATATATATGTTATTCACATATATACGAATAAATATTGAAATAATGCACTGCCTTTATTCCTTGGTCTAATACGCTTTAATACCTTTAATTGCCAGCTGCAAGTAACGAATTGCACAAGATAGCTTAAAGCGCTTTGCAAAACGGAAGTAGATTCTATTCTGCAGTTACTTGCAATGTATTTTGTGCGTCTGTTGCTGCTGTTGCTTTTCTGACGGAAGTTTGTTTTGAGCATATGCATTTATTAAAAGCATAAATATTGAAATATTAAGCTGTGACTGACACAAACAACGGTATGTAAATATGCCATACCCACCGCCTCCCCATTTCGAGATCCCGCTCATGTTTACGTTGTTTTCCTACACTGTAATTGTAGCATGTTTAATTAATACCTAAAGGGTCACATTTTGATGAGATAAATGTATCAATATATCATGTGCTAAATAGGCTTTAAATACATTTAAGTACATATTTTAAGCTTGTAATAAATTGAATTATGATAAAAAAAATGTTATACGTTTCATGGTAAATCGTAGACTTTTCTTAGATTTTTCTCTGAATGTATGAAAAGTAAATCTCTGTCGCAGTGTGTCTGCTTATTTGCTTAACTAAATGCAACTTGTGAGTTGTCAACACAATGCCAGTTACTTATATAACACCCTCCCCTTTGCTCCTCCACATCCTGGCCGCATCCTTCGCCAAAATCCCTAAGTTGCTCCTTGTTGGTGTTGATAACTAACTGGTGTTGGGCTTTGTATTTGAATGCTGGTCAACCTGGTCACTAACGCTCTATAACTCGAGAGAAAAGGGCATTAAACAACCTTGGCTCGAACATTCTGACCGCAGATTTGGAGAGCTCTGAAGGTTAATTGTATGTTTAGGCATTTGCCAACACTCACTCACGCTGAGCAACACTGATGTTCTGACCCATTGGCAACACTGATTGTGTAGTAAAACGAGAAGCTCACACCAGTCATTCCAAGTCAAACAGTTAACCTGACATCGGTTCGAGATTGGAGTGCAGCTAGTACTCTTCGTATTGCTTCCATACACAATACATACTACTCCTTCAGTTCTGGGTGCCCATATCACCGGGCACAAATTGTTGACCGGCAAAATATTTGATTTCATTTCCAACGTACCAGCCTGGACGGGCTCTCTATACAGTTTATTCACTCTAAATCGGAATGAAAGGACGTCACTGCACGGTGAGAAACAACGAGGGGGTTTGAAAATGTATCAAGAATGCTACACCATAATATTCAACGGTTTAAAGTTTACCAAAAAAGGAACGAAGATTAGATATCTAAAAACGTTAAGCAACGAAAACTGATTATTAATTAGTCTACAAATAAGTAATCACTGAATGCAAATTAAATCTTCATTAAACCTGCCAAGTATATTTCCCGTGTAGTTCAGTACTATTCCTTTAACAGTCCAGAATTACTCACATATCACGAGCACGGGTATTGTTGGCATACTATTTCTTTACCTTTACCAGGAACTCCCCTTTCCTCACTTGCGGTCCCGAATCTGTTAGAACATCAGGCTAAAGTAGATAGGGACAGTAGTAGTAGTGGGTAGGTTGCAGTTGTTAGCGCCCAGTGGTTTTTGCTCCGTGTGTGCAATGAGTACGAACTTTAAATTGCTTAGAAAAATCAATCTCGTAAAAGTTTTGAGCTGCAGCGTCACTTATGTGCACTCGACTACAGAAATGGGTTGCATAAAAAAAAAAAAAAACAAAAACAAAACAAAATGAAGAAAGGGGAATGGAGCCTTGGTACAGAGTCAACGAGCCAGCAAAATGTGTGCAGGTGAGTGTTTTTTTTTTTTTTTTAGCTGCTTATTGGAGAACGTGTTCAGCTTGGTATTGTTGCTGTTTTATTTGTTTTTGTTTTTTATTTTTGGAGAGATGAAAGTGGGAGCAGTGGGTCAGATCCTCAGCGATAGCCTTGCACTGGAGCGCCCGTTTTGTTTTAGATTCGCTTACAATGCTGCGCATGTAATGAAATCCCGACAACTGTAATTTCTTACTGCCGTAACTTTGGTCCGGACCAGACCGGACTGGAACACTCCGGCACTTTGGAACTCAAGCAATGTGCAGGGGACACAAATTGCTAGCAAGATAAATGAATCATGCAGCAGAGGAATCACGTCGAGCTATTCCGCTTTCAAATGGCGATTACTCACAGCATCTCGGACGTCGAGGGGGAGTTGAGATGGTCCCTAATCGATGGCGACAACAAGTCAAGCATGCTCTCAGACATGTAATGACAAATTTCGGCAGCCCGAACACAACTGTACTTGAACAAAGGGAAAGCAGCCAGGTCCAGCCACTAAAAATTGGTCATTTATATTTATCTGATCACTGATAATTTTTAATTTAAAGAAACTTAAAAGAACGGTAACTTATAACTAATAAACTGCAAAAAAAAAACGCTTTTATTAATATTTTAACCACAAAGTTTTAGGTACATCATTTATTTTGTTGCTCAGAATTATTGATTTTGCTTTTTATGCCAAACACAAGCAATAATAATAATAAAAATGATAATAATCATTGTCGGCAGCGCCAACTTTACCGAAATTAGCATTTTAAAATATGAAAGAGGGGTTTTCAGGTTAGATTATGCAACTATAAACATAACGGATATTTGTAAACTTTTTCGCTATTCACGATGCCGTTGAAAAAGATGCAAATGAACCAATAAATTTAAAGTGTATATCCATTATATGCCAGAAAGGGCAGAATAAGTGATTAAATAAATTCGAGAACCCCCCGAAAAACATTTTGTGGCTCCGGCACTGGAATGTTATTACATACAGAAGCAGGGACTTACCGTAAGTTTTAATTGTGACGCCCTTCTCGAGGATCTCGGTATTTGCATAGGAGGCGGTGCAGTAGTATCTGCCGCCCATTTCCACCGACAGCGAGGTAATCATCAGGGCCAAACTTTCGCCGGGCAGCGTTTCCGTGTACATCGGCGGTTGGCTGCGTCCATTCCTTTTTTTGGCGGGAAAGCGTGGAAAATTGCCGAAACAGAAGGGGCGGGGGGCGGAAAGAGGGTGTAATGAAAGCGGGTTGCATGTGTATTAGTTACGGAATAATATGCATTTCAATTGTACGATTACGAGTATAAGAAGAGTATGGGGGTGTCAGTAGTATGTACTCCGTATAGTTATTATTATTATTATTATTATTATTTTTATGTATATGCTTAAAAGAATTGCTGTTGCTGTTAGTACAATTTCTCTGCTGCCCTGCTTATTTGCATGCCCTACCAAAAAGTGTTACGCATTTTTCCTCATGGTTTTTTCGCTTACAAATATATATTTCGTTCGCATTTCCAGCAAATTTGCCACGGCAACTTGAATGGCAAATGTGCAAATACCTTTGGCCTTTTCACGGGGGGGAAATATAAATGCGATGAGAGCCATCATGTTTTTCGGCCAAATAAAGGGAAAATGTTCTTTGACTGTCAAAAGCCAAGTGGGAAATATTCGTTACTTTGTGTGTAATCGATTCATTGAATATTCGCTAGTATTTCAGCACAATTAAACCAGTAAAACTTTTCATTATTTTTGCAATAAAATTCAAGAGATTAAAACAGTTTCAGAATTTCGTAAGAATGGTAGTTTGGTTTTAATTATGCTTAAATTGATTCATATTTAAGAAACAAATTTAATTTAATTTTTAGATTCCATATATATATTTGGTAAAAAAGGTAGTTAGCCCAAAAAACTTGACTTCCGAATAAATTACCTATGCGTGCCCAACCGATATGCTTATTAAAACTCAAATTAAACTCGATTTCCTCCATTTTTTCATTTTTCTTTTGTATTTACAAATGGCTCGCAATTTTTCGTGACTTCTTTCAATTTTCTTCTTTTGTGTAGTTGCGAATTAACAAAAGTAAATCGCATAAGGCAAACAAATTATTGTGGTCCCCCCGAATTTCCTCCGAATAAGTGGGAGTTGTACGTAAAACTGGCCATTGTGCGACTCACGTACTAATTAATTAAAAAAGTTTTCATGGCGCAGAAACTAAATATGCATAGAGGCGGTTATTATTATTATGGCTTTTTCGAAGCGAAAACGAAAACAACCAATACAGAGACAAAGATACACACAGAAACTCTATATTATAATGGGGGAAAAACGAACAGTGAGGACAAAAATGAAGATGCATTTTTCCTTTATTTTTTTTTTTTTGTGTTTTTTGCTAGGGAAAATTGCAATATTTGGAAAAGCGGCAAAAGTCAATGAAAGCCTCTTCCTTTTGCGGCCGTGGATGGTGGATTTCAATTTTTGACAGTCGCTCGTCGTCTTTTTGTTTTTTCAACTTTTGTTTTTACGACTGTAATTGGTTTTATATATTGCACATGTGTGCGAGTGTTTGTTTGCATTTCCTTGTTTGTGTGAGGACAGGCACAACCTGCGTTCGATTTGCGATTCGCAATTGTTGGTAAAAATGCAAAAACAGAAAAAACATTCCGGAAAGCGAAGAACGCTGCACGGTTTTTCGTTTGCAACACACAGCTGTGGTGGAAAAAATAGTATGCTTTGAAAAGAGAATTCATATGGAAAATGGGACTTTCAATATTGGTGCGCAATTATCCGATTTCGATTCAATACAAATTTAAATATGTAAAAATTTATAAAATTTGTTTTTGGAGAAAGGGTTTAAGCTTTAATAACTTTTTGAAATTCAAATTCGAAACAAGAATTGTAGTATGTGTTAGAATTTTCAAAAACATAAACTTATTAAGAAAAATTAAAAACTATCGACAAAAAAATTCTATTATTGATGACTTTAAGTTATACAATTGATTTGACCTGTGCTTATACTGTCTGTCTGTCCTATTGATTGGACCTGAATTGTGGTAAATGGAAAACCGTCATTGCTGCGCCCAAAATTATGCTAACAAAAGTTGTTGACGCAGAAAAAAATACGACGCCTCACAGGGAAAACCGCAGCAGTGAAGGGAAAATTGAAAATGTTTGGGGGGAGCGGAGTGAGAAAGCGAAGGGCTGTGAAGACATTGTGCAAAAATTTCGCTGCATATTTGCGTTGGATTTTTAATATTGCGCCCAAGCACCGCGCGCACATAGGAAAAGCCGGAAAAAAAGGGAAAATAGGATAGAATAGGGATGAGCAAACCGTTACGCATACGTAAAAATCAAATTTTTGTTCGTTTTCTTTTTTTTTTGGTTTTTTTTTTTTGTTATTTTGTTGATTGTCTCTTGGGAGTCTTGGCGCCTTGGGGATCTGAAGCCATATAGCAATTTCTACGTTTTTATTGCATTTCTTTTGTCCCCTTTAGATGCGAATAAAGATGTCGTTGGCATTGCTGTTGTTGTTGCTATTTTCGCTGTTATTGAATACGCAATGAAAGCCGCGGAAAAGTGGATGTTGGTGGTGTTTTCCATGGGGTTTTCTTGGGACTGTTTAGACAAGTCCTACAGTCATTTCTCTTTGTCTAGTTATTTCCTTGCAGCACAATGCTGAATTCTGCAATATTGATCACTTGCTATTTCTTTCATTTATCTTCATTTGCAGTCCATACAATTGACAATAGACTGTTTTGATGAATTTTGTATTTATAAAAAGGAAAAAAAATGCACTGCTTTTCCAGTTTTAAATTAGGTTAAATCTGGTAAATAGTGAAATTATTGGTCAACCATTGGTTTTATCAAATTGTGATCTGTGGCTCAGGTTGAGTAAGACAATGGTTTTTGGCTAGATTTTCCCCTGTCCCTTTGGACACCACCTGCACAGAATTATGCCTGCAATCCCTTAACCTATTTTAACCCCCGGCGGGGCAACAAAAAAGATGCGCTGACCACTGGCAAGCTCACTGGCTCACCAAAAATAAAAAAAAACGGCGCAGAAGGGAAAAATTGGAAGGCCAAACCCCCGCAAAAAGCTGTGCCCAAAAATGCGAGCCATGCCCGGCCGCAAAACTATGCCGAACTTAATCGTTTTAATTAACTTGGCTCGAGTATGAACGGAACCATGGATCCTACCATTTTGCCTCCTTTTTGCAGAGGCGGGGGGTGCAAAAAGTGGGCCAGTTTGTCGGTTGGTTTTTGGCAGCTTAATTACATTTCGCGCCTGCAAGTATGCAATGCATTGCATGCGTATTGTGGGCGCAGGTTGGGCGGCTATTGGGCGTGTCCCGCCCCTAAAAAAAAACAGCAGACTGCCCACAGAAAAGAGAAGAGAAGGGAATAGAAGAGGAACAGGGAAACCAAACCAAACCAAACCAACACAAAACAATCAGCAGTAGGCAGAAAGGGCAGGAAACTGAAGGAAAACTACGGGAAAATCGAGGAAAAACGGGGGATCAACCTGTCCAAAAGGGGACCATCCACCCAGAGTTGCCACAACGTTTGAAATGAGAAATTGCATTCACTTTTGCGTGAGCGGAATTGAAAAGCCAGGCGTTCAGCCAGGGTTGCCGCAATCATAATTAAAACTGACTTTGCCAAAGGAGAAATGATAAATGAATTGGCCTAAACTAAACTAAACTAAACTAAACAGGAATTGTAAAATGTTATACGAAAACAATCAGAACAAAGACAAATTTAGAAAGAGATTTATTTAAGTATTTCCCGGTTAGTTTTGGACTCAAAAGTTGTTTTCTACAATTTTTTTTTATTTGTAATTCCAGCTTTAAAAGTTTTTTAATATTCTTTTTATATAACATTATTATTGCACCAAAAAAAAAAAAGGTAAAGGACGATAATAAAAATTTGAAATATGCCAAACAAAAGTAAACATAAAAGTGTAGAGCCCAAGCTGAAACACAAATTTCCAGTCGCCTAAGCTTGAAGTGAAAACGGGGTTAATTGGCACGCAATGGTCGTGCGGGAAAGCATTTTTTGTGTGTGGCACCAATGGGTTAACTGGGGGTCAGGTGTGAAACGCTCTCCTGGGGGACAAGCGAGCCTCTAATCTTGTATTTTTTCTGGATTTCCCCCTCCGGCAGTCTACAGGCTAATTAATTAACACGATTTCGCCTTTAGCACGCAAACAACACACACACACACACACACACAAAATGGCAGCCCGAGATTTCGATTTGAATATTTGACCTAAGAATTCCCATTCGCATTTGCCTTTTACATTCCCTTGCATTTTCCTTAATTGCAATTTCGTCCTTTTTGCTGTTGTCAAGGGAAGGATTTCAACCGATTTCGCTGAAGAAAACTTTTTGTTCTTTCTATTTTGTGTAGAAAAACTTTTTCAGCTTTTCATTTACCTGCTTGTCAAATACGTTTTTAATTTAACTTTCATTTTTTATGGAACGACAAGCGGAGAAATTATGTTATGCGTAAGAGCTTTGAACATAAAAAAAAAATAAATTACTTTAAGTTTACTGAAGCTGTTGACAATTGTTAAATACTTTAACATTCCTAACATAAACATTCATGTTTCTAAAGTTTAAAATCTTTAGTTTTTAATTAGTTATTTAATAAGTTCTATACATAAATTTAAGTTAGCAACATTTTTGGTGGATTAACAGACTAATTAGTGATAATATAATGCGCAGCAGGAATGATATTCTTTTAAATCGCTTTCAAAATAAATTTGTAAACGCGTTTTTAAGCTTTTATCACTCTTATAACTCCAAATGGAGACCCAAGATGAAGGATTGTTAGTACAACAACTATTAGGGATGTTGCATGAGGAAAATGGGTGCGTGTGTGTGAGTGCTTTTGTATCAGTTGTCGAATGAAAAATGTCAAATGCCAAATGCTACTCTAAGTCTAGACCCTTTGCTAAATAGGGCCTTGAAAAAATGCAGCGAGATGAGTTAACTCAACAAACAAGAACAAATCAATCAATTAATCATGCCAAAAACAACGACATTAAAAAGGGTCTAGGAATATTGGGCGGGCCGGAGGCAAAGCTACAAGTCTAAAACTTCGGTTTTTCAGTCGCAGTCGAGTGTTACCAGAAACTATAGCAAGTCGCTTTAAAATTGGTCTGCTAAAGTCACAAAACCTTTGGCAGGGTATTTTATATACGCCACTATGAATTTACAAACAAACTTGATATATTTTTATATGGCGATTAAAGTCGACATCGATTGAAATTGATAAGAATATATAGTTCCTGATAAAACCTCAGTTAAAGTATCGTTTAACAAATTGTTACTGTCGCCGTATGCTACTAATTGATGCAGTTGCATTTACTGATTACTGTTGCAGTTGCAGTTAAATTACTGGTTGCTGTTACTGATTTACTGGTTTTTTTCTTGGTTGTATATTTTTTTTGTATTTTTTGGGTATAAAGCTGATCGCGTCACTTACAGTTTCTTTCTATTGCCCTTGGAATCATACAGTGGATAGTAATTCCTACAATACGATATACGATATAAGTGTATGCGAGTGTTGTAGTGTATGTTCATTGGTAGGTGTGTAGTAAGTGTGATTGTGTTTGTTTATAGACATCAGAAAATTCACCAATAACCGGAGGTTGGGGTAGCGGTTAAAACTTACGGCTTGGGCAGGATGGTGTTGTTGAAATTATCCTTCCATTGCAGATCGGCGACCAGGGCCGTTTCGGGAACTGTGGGACGGCAGGTGAGGATCAATGACTTGCCAACTGGTTTGCGCTGGACCTCCTGTTTTGGAAAAATCTCCAGGATGGGTGGCTGCTGCGCTTGGCTCAGTTCTGAAGCAAAATAATATAAATAAAATAGGCAATTAGTGGGGTGATACACAAAGAGAAAATTTAGAAATTTATTGCAAATTGTATAGTTTTTATATGACATTTGTATGACATTATTTAAAATGGTTTAAAAAAGTCATTGCTCACTATGTTTTATATTTATGAAACAGAAGATATTTCTATTATTTTGTATGTTAATGTAATTTTTTTTTTTCAACAATTTATTGCTACCTGAGCAAAATGTATAATGAGAAAGAGCTGAAAATCTTAACCAACTGATATTACGTTTTTCTCTTCATTGAGAGCTGTGGTTATCGGTCTTTGTTTTCATTTTATCTGCTCTTTTTCCGAGTGACTCATTTGCACAGGCGAGTAAATTTTAAATTAATTTTAATTGCCTTTGCCGTGGACGCCAACAAAGGGGCGGGGCTTTTGGGGGGCGAGTTGCGAAGGGCGGATTTTGTGGAGGAGTGCACCAGCTGGGGACCTTTGTAATTTTCGCCTCCGCTCATTATGCACAAATATCGACGGGAGTGTGTATGGGTGTGTGTGTGTGTGTCTCAATTAAATGAAATTATTCCAGCGAAATTCCAATTCAATTGAAATTTCGTCGAAATGTAATGGAAATTAGTCAAACGCACTTGCACATTGAGTTATTTCACTTAGAATTAAATAAATATATTTGTACCAATTTCCCGTGGAAAATTGAGTAGCGATGATATTTAGGAATCGGACTTTCAACAGGACACATACTATTCAAATGTGTGTTAACAAATGTCTTTTTTAATGTCAGTGAAAATAATTAAGTGATGCACAGCTTGTCACAAACGGTAGACCATAATAATAATGGCCACTGACATTTACTGAAATTTATCGTCAGCTGCTATATTTTTTCATAAAACTTCATTTAATTTTGTCATAAAAGCTTATTAAAATTATTGTTCTTTGTTCATAAAGGCTTATTGGATACTTTTATGTGGAGGCTGTTAATATTTTCATATTTAAACGACAATTTTTCCCTTGATTGCGCTTTATGTACAATTCTGTAGACTAGAACTCCTTTATTTTTTCAGAGTGGCGGCTTTTGTGTTTTTGAAAGTATTTTAAAAAATGAACAAAAACAACATAAAACTATTTAAAATAATGACAAATGAAAATTAAAAACACAATGTACAATATTTTGCAATAAAGAAATTCAAATTAAAAAAGAAAAGACCTACAGCATTTTTTTGGAACGTTTTCTTTTCCACAATGCCCATCATCCCTTACTCCCACCCATCGGGAAGTGCATCTGTTTTGCCCTCAAACGGCACTCTATATCCTTTACTTATATAAGCTAGTTACCCATTTTCTGGCCCAGCTGCTCTTTTTGCTGTCTCTTTGAAACTTGCTCCATTGCGACTAAAAGTTGGCCATTGTTCATCTAGCTAATTACCGACAATTAAACGCTCATGAAACCCTTTGTTACGAGGTCGAGGAATAGGATATATATGGAGGATAGAGGATAGAGGAGCATGGGAAACTGAGATCCTGGTGCCAGGACGCTTCGACTATGCGAATGGCAAAAAGTTTCAACGTTTTGCCTTACATTTTCATTTTCGCTCTCATTCTCATTACAATTAAAAGCCTTTCTGGCCATTTTCTTTGACATTTTATTGGACTGTCTCAGTTGACTTGGCTGACTGGCAGTGTAGTGGTAATTTTGGGTGGCTGGCTAAAGTCAAGGATAACAGCTTGGTTCTTGGCCAAGTTCAAGTTGGGGTTAGCTCCTTAATGGCCAATGTCTGCACATTTGTTGGGCAATTTTATGTGTGTGGTCAAGATTAAAGTGCTGCAAAAAAGCGGAGGGGATTGGGGGATTGGGGGATTCCCCCACTGACAGTGGCAGCTGTGATCAGTGTGTATTCTCCCCTTTTTCCCTTTTTTTTCCTTTTTTTTTTGTCAAGCCGCAAGTGGCGCACACAGTCGAGTGCATAAATAATTTAATGTAAACGAATCCGCTCAGGGGCGTGGGTGCATGGGGATGGTGCATGCAACAGAGTGCATTAAACTGCCCCCAGGCTTCAGCTTTTTGTTATTTTTTTTTTTTGTTTTTTGTTTTTGCCCCAACGCCTGTGTCTCCTCCGTTTTCCATCTGCAGCTTCGGCGAAATTAAATATGAGAAATTTATGCGACGTTGCCTTTTTGCATTGCAATTAATGCAAGGCAACAAAATGGCGCCACCAACTATCCCCCGACAACAAAAACAAAGGAAAGTACCTACAAAAAAAAATTGAATAATAATGAAATGCTGAGGGTGGGTGAGAGAACACCCAACAAGATGGAATAAAACAACCAAATGCTCTTTTTTCTCACTTAAAAAAACAAATAATGGAAAAATAAGTTTATTGTAAAATATTTTCAGCAATTTATTTTACTATTTTAATTTATTTTTTAACCAAATAATTGTATCAATATAAAATCAATGGTGTTAAATGTATAATTTTATTATGTTAATATTAATCGGTTTGCAGATGTTCACCTATATATATATTTATTTAAAAATGGTTTTATCTGTCAAAGGATCAAAACTAATGATTATTTTCCATTCATAATGTATTACTTTTTTAATGTTGGTTTATTTATGTAATTCACACCGTTCCATTTTGCAACAAGAAATGGACAGATAGTGAATAATGGATTTATTTGTTTATTGAAAAAAATGTGTGTTCATTTTGACTTAATGAGAGTCAAAGCCTTTCAAGAGTTTAATCATCCATTTAACCTTTTAATGTATTTATTTGTTTAAGAACAAAAATATCTATATTTGAGTTATATATAAAATTCTGTTATTTATATTTACTACACTTTTGAGGTTCTTTGTGAAGGGCATTTCCCTTTGGGACTCTGGCTATGCTTAATTTATATTTATTTTATTTTAAATGCATGCTGCATAAATAAAGGCGCAAGCCAACACATACGGACGCACATTATCTTTCTACCTCTCTGAGCCCCCGATTTTCCCGCTTTTCCCATTTTCCTCGGGCGAATGTGTGCTGCTTTTCCGACGCCGCATAAATAAACAAGCGGTTAAGAATTATCGCGAGGCTCTCGGGAAAAAGAGAGAGCGAGATGGACTGAGATTGCCGGAAAGAGATGGATAGAGAGAGAGAGGGAGATGTGGGCGTGGCAGCTGCTGGACAATTCGCCCACTTCTCGAGCAATTAATTCATTGCGACTGGCCAGAAAATATTGTTGAAAAACAATTAAAAATTGCACATTAAAATGGGCAAATTAACAAATGCATACGAATTCAACGAGAATATCATATATTTAAGGCTTTAAGTCCGAACTTTCGTTCATTTCCTTCTCTTTTTTTTGTAGCTGCTGTTTTTGTTTTTGTTGTTTTTTTTTATTGCTTCGGCCGCGCAAAAGTTAAAATTAATATTTGTTTGCTTGAAAGTTTTTGGCGCTTTTTCGGCCAGCAGAAAATGTTGATTTATGTAATCCCTCTTTCTCCTCGGAAAAGTTAGTTTTCTGAATTATGGCTGCAAAATAGTGTGGCATATATACCACCATCTCGCTTGCACGCAAATATTTTCCAGGCTCCCCCTCAAATTCGCCCACCACCCCGTCACCTTCTGGCCAGAGGCGTGCTCAAGTGGCGACGACCTGAACCCAAAGTCCAAAAATAGTATCTATTGGTTATCGAGAGTAGCCTAAATTTACACAAGCCACTCGAACAAAAAGCGAGATCAAAGAAAATTCGCGACGAGGTGTTTGCTAATGACAGGGACCTTTGGTTTAGGGCTTAGCTTATACACCGAAAATAAGTAATCTGAACGTGTGATTTTGAAAGAGTTAACCTATTAACCTATTGGGAATTTTATTGAATATCAACAATGTATATCGAACAACACAATATTGTTAACACAAATTGGAACGTTTTTTTATTTTATGCATTTACAAATAACTGTTTTATTTTTAATGCATAAAATGATTGTTTTTGTTAAGTGGCAATTTTATAAGATATTTGATATCGTTGTGGTAACCTAAAACCACTGAATTGTGATAAGCGTGGGAGCACTGTACAGCTGCCGCTTGTTTGGGGCAATTCAAGGCCGAATTTATTGGCACAATAAACATTAAAGGGCGCGACACGAAAACGCCACCCACTCACTGCTCCCTCCTCGTTGGCCGCAAACATGTTTGGCATATTTGATGGCATTTCCTTTAGGCATGCATGCGTGCCAGCAAACGATTGCAGACATCCTCGACATCCCTGTGTTTTATTTGCACTCGTTATAATATTTCCACGTTATGTTTGTGCTCCTTTCTAGATTTTTTTTCTTTGCCATTCTGCTCTTACAAAGTTTTTTTTTCTTCTGAAAACGCCCAGACATGTTGCATACTTTTGTGCGCGCGTTGGCGACAGGAAACTGGAGCAGCCGCCTCAAGTGGTCGTCGATGATGCCGACTACCCATCCCCTATTACACCACCCCCCACCCTCCCTTAAACCACCGCGTGAAACAACGACGACCTCCCACCCCACTCCAAATCCAGCATGGGTTGGTATTTTTTTTCGGCGTGTATGCCTTTTGAATTTTTAAATAGGCCACAAGAAAAGAAAGAGGGCGCGAGACAGCGGCATTGACAGTTGCGCTTCGTTTTTGATACCCACTAAAATGTTTCTAACGGTATATTAAGCATAGGACAAGCATTTACTAAGTAAAAAACTATATTTTAAATTTAAATAGAAAATTTGAAATATTGTTTCATAATTATTATTTGAGATATTCAATGTTATTTCCAAAATATAACAACTCTAAATAAACCTAAAACCTAATGAAAACAGCAAAGCATTTGGTGGGAACTTAATTTCTCAACCTTTACGATTTGAAATAAATTAAATTTATAATTTAAATTTGTGAATGAAATATGTTTTATGGCCCTATTTTAAAAACTCAAATTATTGTTTTTCAAATTCCATTTTAGGTACAAAATTGTTTATGATTTTAAGAAC